TATTTTGCTTGCATGTGATATTAATGATATTGCTCGATAGTTTCTACATTCAGTTGCATAACCTTTCTTGGAATAGGAATAAACATGGACCTCTTCCAATCTGTTGGCCAGTTATCCTCCAAATTTCCTGGCATAGACTGCTGAGTGCATCCATATCTCCATCTGTGAAGTTAAACAAGTCCCTTGGTATCCAATCGATTCCTGGGGCCTTATTCCTGGACCGATAGGCAGTGTCATGTTGGATAGAGAGGAGATTGAAACTGTCAACAGCTTCATCTTATTTGGATCACAATTAACATCCTTGGTACCAGCAGTCAGGAAATAAGAAGATACATCACACTGAGAAAATATGCAGTTAGGGACCTCTCCAAATTATTGAGGAGTAATGATGTCTATTTGAGGACTAAGGTGCAAATGATCAAGGCCATAGTCTTTCTAATTACTTAATATGCATCTTAGAACTGGACAATGAATATGGACGACAGAAAAAGAATTGATGCTTTTGAGCTATGGTGTTAGAGAAGAACATTGAACATGGACAGCCAAGAGAACAAACAGTTATGTCTTTGGAGAAGGTGCAGCCGGAGTGCTCTTTGGAGGTAAGAATGATGAGGCTTCACCTCACACTTTGGGCATGCTGTTAGGAGGGACTATTCCTTGGAGAAGGACATGATGCTGGGAAGAATGGAGGATAAGCAAAGGAGATGTAGACCCTCAACTAGATAGACACGGTGACTGCTGCAATGGGCTCGTGTGTCAGGAAGTGTGAGAATGGTGCAGGATAGGACAGGGTTCCGATATTCTGTTCATAGGGTCGCTATGAGTCGTATTCGACTCAATGGCACTTAACAAAAGGCAACTGTAGACTTGAATTTGTTCTTCAGTTTCAACAATGCCAAGCTAGTTTTTTCCTTTTGATTTTTGGACTCCAGCTCTTTGCACATTTTGTTATAATACTTTGTTTTGTCCTCATGAGCTTCCCTCTGACATTTTTTTGTTCACCTCTTTATCATTTCTTCCCTTTGTTTTGGCTTCTCAGCATTCTAGTTCAATATTCAGAGTCTCTTCTGACATCCATTTTGGTCTTTTCTTCCCTCCTGTCTTTTTAACAACCTTCAGCTTTCCTCAAGGATGATATCCTTGATATAGTCCCACAGCTCATCTGGTCTTTGTTCATTACTGTTCAATGCCTCAAACCTGTTGAGGTGGTTTTTAAATTAAGGTGAGCTAGACTCAAAACAATCTTTGTGGATTGTTTTCATTTTCTTTTTTATAAGTCACACAGTTTTTATATAGTGTCAATCCATCTTTTTTAAAAAATTTTATTATTTTTGTGTGAGTGTACCATCAAATCAGATCTGACTGGTTCAGGAGGAGATTGTCCCTCCTTCCCCGGCAGAGCATCTGGTGGATTTGAATCGTGCACCTCTGGGATTGTAGTTGCAGCTCCTTATCACTAGGCCACCAGAGCTCCCCGTCAAGCCATCTTTTTGAGGGCCTTCCTCTCTTACTCTGACCCTCCACATTTCTCAAGGACCCGTTCCCCCCTTTTTTTTAATGGTTTGCTTACAAAGTTCGTATGCACTGGGTTTCACACTATTTCTCATTCATATTATATTTCATACAATCATTCTCATGCACTAAGTTTTGTGCTTTTGAGGGTTTTTTAAAATATAAACATTTTGTTTCATACTGGTTTACTTACAAAGTTCCTATACATTGTTTTCACACCAGATCATTCTCATTTCCTTAACCCACCTCAGCATGCAGGAGCAATGATTTTATAAATCACAACCTATCTTGGGAGGGACTGGAGGGTATTAATCATTATGTTTTATAAAATTAATAACCATTGGACTTCGCCCTTGTATTTACACCCAGATCCTTCACATTTCCTTCCCCCACCCTGTACCCACCAAACTATTAATTTTATTTAGCCTCAATTTGAACTTGCACATAAGTAGTTGATGGTCTGTTCTACTGTCAGCACCTGGCCTGATTTTCACAGCTGATACTGAGTTTGTCCAACAATTCTTTCCACAGGTGAAGTGAGGTCCAGGTGTATAGTTGCCAACGGTGTTTTGTTTTTTTTAAATTTTTACTTTATTATTCTTGTGTGAGTGTACCGTCAAATCAGATCTGACTGGTACAGGAGGAGATTGTCCCTCCTTCCCCGGCAGAGCATCTGGTGGATTCGAACCGTTCGCCTCTGGGATTGTAGTTGCAGCTCCTTACCACTAGGCCACCAGAGCTCCCCTGTTTTTTATAAAAGGTATCTGTAGTTAATAGATTACTGATTGTACAAAATTCAATTTCCAGCCTCATTTCTATCACCAAGTCCGTATACTATGACTGCTGATTCTGCTTCTTTGTTCCCAACTTTTGCATTCCAGTAACCAGTTAGTATTAATCAATCTTGGCTGCATGTTTGATCTATTTCAGACTGCAAAAGTTGGTAGAAATCTTCTATTTCTTCTTCCTTGGCTTTAGTTGTATATTTGAATGATAGTGGTACTGACAGGTCTTCCTTATATGAATAGTATCCTGTCACTTACAACATTGTATTTCAGGATGGATCCAGAAATGGTCTTTTTGACTATAAATGCAATCCAAGTTTTCTTTAGTTTTTCATTCCAGGTGTAGTAGGTCATAAGAATTATGTGATTCAAAGTGGCTAGTGCCAGTCCATCTAAGCTTACTGATGCCTACCTAGTATGTCAGTTTTTTATGCATTCCATTTTTTTAACAATGTCCAATTTTCTTATATTCATACTTCATAAGTTCCACATTCAGTTATTAGTCAATGTTTGCACCTATTCTTCCTCATTTTAGTGACTTACAAAATGAGAGTTCAGCCTCCAGTGCTATGTCTAATAATCTAAGTGTGTATCAGAGGTGTAATCTTTCTCCATACCTTTTCAATCCATATGCTAAGCAGATCATTCGAGAGGCTGGACTTTATGATGAAGAATGTGGCATCAGGATTGGAGGAAGATTCAACAACCTGCATTATGGAGATGACACAAGTTTGTTCGCCAAAACTGAGGAGGACTTGAGGTGCTTGCTGCACAAGATCAACGACTGCTATCTTCAATATGGATTGCGCTTCAACATCAACAAAACAAAAATCCTCACCATCAGGCCAATAGGCAGAATCATGATAGAATTATAGAGAAAAGACTGAAGTTGTGATCTATTTCCTCTTGCTTGGATCCACAATCAACATGCTTAGCACCAGCAGTCAGGAAATCAAAAGATGAGTTGCATTGGGAAAATCTGCTGTCAAGGACCTCTCCACAGTGCTAAAGAGGAACAATGTCAATCCAAATACTAAGGTACACCTGATCAAAGCTATGTCTTCTCAATTTCTTGCTATGCATCTGAGAGCTGGACAATGATTATGGATAACAGAAATAGAATCAATGTCTTTGAATTATGGTGCTGAGTACTGAAATGATGAATTGAATTATGGTGAAGAGTATTGAAAATACTGTGGACTGCCAAAATAACAAAAAGACTGTCCTGAAAAGACTGAAACCAGATTGCCCTTTGGAGACAGGGACTTCAAAATGCTGCCTCACATACTTTGAGCATGCTGCCAAGAGGGGTTAAGTCCTTGGAGAAGAACATCATGCTTGGAAAGGCGGAGGATCAGGTCAAGAAAGGAACATCCAGCCTTTTTGTTCCTTCGTCACCACCTGGTGGTCGGCAAGAACAAGCGCCTTACAAAAGGTGGCAAAAAAAGGAGCCAAGAAGAAAGTGGTTGATCCATTTTCTAAGAAAGATTGGTATGATGTAAAGGCGCCAGCAATGTTCAATATAAGAAATATTGGGAAGACATTAGTCACAAGGACTCAAGGAACCAAAATTGCGTCTGATGGACTCAAGGGTCGTGTTTTTGAAGTGAGCCTTGCTGATTTGCAAAATGACAAAGTTGCGTTTAGAAAATTCAAGCTAATTACTGAGGATGTTCAAGGCAAAAACTGCCTCACCAACTTCCATGGCATGGATCTTACCCACGACAAAATGTGCTCCATGGTCAAAAAATGGCAGACCATGACTGAAGCACATGTTGATGTCAAAACCACCGATGGTTATTTGCTCCGTCTATTTTGTGTTGGTTTTACAAAAAAACGCAACAATCAGATTCGGAAGACATCTTATGCTCAGCACCAACAGGTCCGCCAAATCCAGAAGAAAATGATGGAAATCATGACCCGAGAGGTGCAAACAAATGACTTGAAAGAGGTGGTCAATAAATTGATTCCAGACAGCATTGGAAAAGACATAGAAAAGGCTTGCCAGTCTATTTATTCTCTCCATGATGTATTTGTTAGGAAGGTAAAAATGCTCAAGAAGCCCAAGTTTGAATTGGGCAAACTCATGGAGATTCATGGTGAAGGTGGTAGCTCTGGAAAAGCTACTGGAGATGAGACAGGTGCAAAAGTTGAACGAGCTGATGGTTATGAGCCACCAGTTCAAGAATCTGTTTAAAATTCAGCCTTTTAATAATTACAAATAAAAATTATTATTTGTGAAAAAAAAAGGAACATCCAGGAGGAGATGGATTGACACCGTGACTGTGACAATAGGGTGTCAGATGTGTCAGAGACAGTGAGGTTGGCTCAGGATAGTGCAAGGTTCAGAGCCACTGTTCATAGGGTCCCTATGAGTCATAGTCAGACTTGATAGCAAACAGCAATAACAACAGACACTGTTGTCAAGAGTTAACACACATCAACTTATTTAATCCTCACAAACCTATTTTTATTATGACCATTTAATATTTAGTAAAACCATAAGGTTTAAGTTTCTACAGTTACCAACTAGTGGAACTGGATATGAACTACTCAGGCAGCTTAACCACTAGTGAACAGCCATAACCACTAGTGAGTACTAGGCCACAAGGGGAGGTAACAAGAAAAGTAAGCCTTTTATAGGAATTTGGTTACTCTCTGGAGGAAGAAGAAAGATGTGTATACTGTAAGTGGGGCACTCACCATACAAGCCTGAGCCAAGCTCATGGCCAGACGGAACCGGGCAGACATGGCGACAGGCAGCAGAGGGCTCAGGCCGGAGCCCACGTCAGGGTTGATCACACGCAGGCAGCAAACCACAGCCTCTATAACCAGCTCAGTAGTGAAGGCTCGAAGGGTCTGCACATCTGGAGGAATAGCCCTGAAGAAAAAGGGGGCTTCCTTGATTGGGGCAACATTCAGAAAAGTGGGATCAAAGTGGGCTATCCTGCCTTCTGAAGGTGAGGAGGTAGTGTTCCTAATTCATGGATGCCATGGGTGACTGAGACCTCGATTTGGAAAACTAATAAGTAGAAAAGTCTTCAGGTCCTAATATCGCAGTAAAGGAAAAACGGTGGTTGGATGAGCCCTTAGCTAAAAAAAAGAAAAATCTCAAATTTTCACAATGATTAAGATCTTTCACATTTCTAAGGTCTGAAAAGGTCAAGGGATCCAAGTGGCAAGATCTCTGGATTTCTGAGTCTCCAGATAACATATCCCAAGATATCTTGCCACTAAGTGGCCTATTGATAAGAAGCTGTGCTGCAATCTCAAAGGCATATGGTTTAAATCCACCAGCTACTCCATGGGAGGATGGGCAATCTCCTCCCATGCAATTTACTGCCTCTGAAAACCTCCTGGAACTGACTGGACAACACACACAACGGGGTTTTGAAATTAGATACTGAGAGGCTAGGGTTTTCAGAGGTTGCAAAAATCAGGGTCCCTGGTTTTCAAAGTTCCAAGACCTCTGAGTTTCAAGCAATCTACGAATCAGGATCCCTAAAGATTGACATCATGATGTATAGGGACCTCAAATGGAGGAATCCTGTGTGTTCTGGTTACCAAGGTCACCAGATTTTCAGATTCTAGTCTTCTAGGTTGCCTGGTTCTCAGGGTACGGGTATTTTATGGTCTATAGATAGAAGTGTTCCAAGGTACTAAAAGCCATAGTTGTTGAAATGCTAGGACTTTCCTACATTCACAGATTTCAACAGTGGCATCACTAGGGTGTGGGGTGGGTGTGGAATTTGGATCATAATGGGTGACACTGTCAGCAAGAATGAAACTAAAATACATCTATAAAAATGTCGTATAGTGTTTCAACAGAAATTATTTTTGCTTTGATGTTTCTCATAGAAGCATCCTGTATTTATAATCGGAAAACATTTTTCATAAATGCAACTTACATGTATCAATATATCTACAAGGTTAAAACTATATGCTAATTTACTTTCAATCTTCTAATAAGCTCCAGTCAGTTACTATTACTAATTATCGAATTATAATAATGCATCAAATCACAAGATTTCATCTGCAAGCACTACAAGCAAATTTGCTTTCATTATATTGCTGTTTTTATAGTCGCTGATTTTTTTCAAATTTTCCGGTGTTTTAGCGACAATATTGTGATAATAAGTTTTCATGAACCTATATCAATAGCTTTTTTTGAGAATGAAAGTCATTAAACAAAAGGATAAAAAAATCAAAACTCTTCCTCTCAGTTATTAATAATTCATAACTAACAATTCCATTTAGAATTTTTTTTGTTAGTATTTAGATATAGATGATATCTAGATAGATAGATAGATGAGAAATAGATAATAGATACCTAAGAAACATAACAATTATAATTATGACATTACTTGATTAAAAATAATAAACATTACTAACGATTCTATATGTATGGTCGGTTATGAGAGAAGGCCCATTGGGGTCAGGGAGGGTAACACCAACCCTAATAACGCCACCGAATATTAGGGTTCCTGGTTTTGAAGGTTCGAAGGTTTTAACATTTCACTGTGCTCGGATCCATACCGTCGGGTTTACTTTCTCTGGGGCTTAAAATATTGCACAGCTCCCTCCTCCATGTCTGAAAGGGAGGGCCAATCTTTAAGTTCCTGGAAATTGAAGCCCTGGATTTTAAGGTCCAAGTATTTTAAAGTCTCCAGGTGACTGGACCAAGAGATTTTGGAGTCCCGGATGTGGGCATTCGGGGATGAGGAGGGGGACCGTGTCCTTACGTGCCGGCCTGGCGCAGGGAATGGATGAGAATTCGGTCGGCCTCTTCCATAGCTAGTCCAAGCAGTGGATCCAGAGTCAGGTCCGAGTGGGAGGGACGCAGCTTTGAGACCTCACACCGCACCACTGTCCACGAAGAGTCACAGGCCGCGCGAGAAATGCCGGGAAATGTAGTTCTGCTAGTGAGCGAGAAGCACGCTGGGTGCCTGGATCCCTAGTGTATACTTCCGCACGTAGATCTGTGCGTGCAATGGTCCCTGGGAATTGTAGTATACCTTCCTTGGGCTGTTTCTGGAGGGCTAGGTAGCCTAGTGGCAAGAAGCTGTTCCGCGTCAGAAGGATGGGCAGTCTCCTCCCTTCTGATTAACAGCCTCGAAAACCCTAAGGAGAGTCAGCTATGGGTCGGTTCTGACTCAACAGTACAACCACACAGGAGCAAATAGCCCTGATGACGTCGTGATAAGAACCTGCAAATGCATGTGGTTCAAATCCATCTGCTGGTCCTCTGCAGACTAATAGGCAGTCTCCTCCCAAGACGAGACAGTACTCAATAACAACTCAAAAGCAGAGATGGGGGGCTGGGGAGGGAGACAGAAAATGAGAGACAGAGAAAGCAAACACAGCAGCAACTTATGAAGTGTGCAGTCAGACAGAACACATTACTACCCTATGTTGTTATGTGCCATCCAGTCACTTGTGACTCATAGCGACCCTATGTACAACAGGCCTAAACCCTGCTCTATCCCGTGCCAATCTCACTGCCTCTGACACACCCATCCCGCTTATCCCAGTCACTGAATCAATCCACCTCATAGAGGGTCTTCCCCTTCTGTGCCATCCCTCCACCCTCCCAAGCATGATGTCCCTCTCCAAGGACCTGTCCCTCCTTA